ATTTAACACCCTCGCGAGCAGACAGCTCCAGTTAAACCTATCATCATAAATAATCACTCGCATTCATGCGGTTTATTCGCTATCATTAAAGTTGGGGGGAATAAAAAAGTTCTTCTTTTCTCCCACTGAAGATCCACAGTGCGTGTAATGTTCCCGATAAATCAGTGACCCACCCCCTTCCAGCGCTCCTATATGGTTATATATCGATTCCTCCATGGCTTTCTTTCAATCATCCTCCGAGAAGCGGTGCGGTAAATGGGGATGGGGGGACTACTACTGTACACCACACGGTATGCCGAAAACAAACAAACAAAGAAGAAAAAAACCTTGAGTATGATATGTATGATATCCAATACTGACCCGAATTATCATGGGGAGAAAAAGAAAAAGAAACCGAAGCCGGGTACAGTACTAGTACATACCCCCATCTCCTCCCACACGGTTTGTAAATTCACACACTCGAGTCCTCCTCCTCCTCCTCCTCTTCAGTCCAGCAAAGGTTATAGAAGTGATGGTGCCAATATCAAGGAGAAAAAATCTACGCACTGTGATACGAGTCCCCCCTTCACTTTCCCGAAAAAAGGAATAGCTACATAGCCAGCTGTGGTTAGCTTACTAAACAGCCGGATATGAGCAATAACCGTAACACTTGTATAAAAACTCCGTGGGAAAATCACACTTATCTCCGTGAGGCCAGTCCAGGGTGGGTTCGGTTTGACATGTTATCGTAACGAGATCCGACAAACGTCCACCTCGGCCTATCTTGTAACCGTGTCGGGAAAAAAGATAGCTACCGTAGCTCTTTTTGGCTTGGAATCTGGAGATTGCAGGGGTATCGGAGATGCAGTAGGGAATTTCAAAGAGTTTTTATGGGTATTTTGTACTGATTAGGGGCGGATATGTCCAAGGGGATAAATGTGCTATTATGGCTTACTCAATCACAACCTCAGAGGGGGGGGGGTGCGCAAGGGAAATCTCCAAAGTCTTTCTTTTTTTGCCCAAGACGGTACCGAGCGGACGGAAAGATTTTCAAGTACCAAACTCAAGGCGATTACTCACACGACCGACAGAAACCAACAAGAGATCAATCAGAAGGCCTGGAGGCAAAATATATTGCCCATCCACGGACAAACACGTTGCTAAATACGGTACATTATAAATTGCTAGGCTACCGACTCACTTACCGGTATACCCCTCTCCTTTCCCCACCCCATTCCTGGCCCTTCCAATAGCGATAACACCCCCCCACCCTCCGGACATGCACTACAAAACGGTACGGTATGTACCGTACCTCCCCTACCTCCATTTTTGATCCTTTATTCTTATTCCCATGATACCATTTTTTTCCCTTTCCAGGCCTTGGCGGTGGAAGAGCAAAGCTACCAACTAACCTGTCAACCAATGAAGTGGGTAGGTAGGCGGACGGGTGTGTGGGTGTCAGGGAAGACAAGTAATCCGCGGAGTAGGATAGAGTATGGGAAGAATTGGTATCATTGGCGGCATGGGGTAGAAGGACTGCGGTATGGGGTTTGATTGTTCCGTCCCAGGAATACCTCTACTTTGTCTTGCGTTCCAGGTAGCGCATAGCGGGATCGCGAGTGGTGAAACGGACGTTGAGAAAGCCTCCAACAGAATACTCGAGTAAATGCGCGGTACCATTCGCCATCCACCGATGTGATAAGTCTTTGTAAGGCCAACTTGAAATATAGCTTGCTTCATATCCCGGTCGGGTAATATCCCGGAACCTTGAAGTGTGGCTACCGGTAATCTTACTCCCCTTTGGTATGTGACCAGGCCCTGGGAATACTTGTACACGTCGTGGTGTACCGGTACTCGAGCAGAGGAAAAGCCGGGGGGATACAAGGGAACACCGATCAACTTTCCACTATATCCGCTCTACCATACCGGTATTCACGCCAAATGGTGCACAAGCTAACCCCACCGCCGGGCCCGTGTCCCTCCCACCGCCACCACCACAAAGACAAACACAAGCTTCCCCATCCCCCCCCCGCGACCGACGGGACAAAACTAGGTTCCCCACCACCACAAATCCCAAAACCAAAACGAGTGACACGTTATGACTTAATTCACCCTTTCTTTGTCTCCGCTGCGGATTAGTAATCCACGGAAACCGACGAATCGGGGGAATTCATGCGCCGAGTTGAACAGGGGGGGTGGAGTAAATGTGCACCTTTTCGGAGGGTTTACTCCCAGAGGGTTTTTGATCTGGGGATAAGGTAGGAGTATATTTGTTTGGTGCGTTGTGAGCACGAGTCAGAGGTGTCACCCCAAGGTCGACTCTTATTTCCATCTCTAATCAGGCGAAAAAACCCACCAGAACATGCTGCGAAATTCTCCTCCCGCTCCCCGTCGTTGGTGTTGTCGTGGTGAGATGACGATGCCCTGCTCCTATGTCCGGGCCCCCGGAAGCACAATATCCGAGCTCCGGCCTTCGTGGGCAGGTGTGAGGATGGGGTCCCGGGACACGCCGCGATGGATAGTGATAGGTTGGTTCTGTTTGCACGGGGGGTTTATTGTTTAGTATTAGTGGCACCGCAGTAGTGGGAAGTATCTTGAGCGAGTTGAGCAAGGAGGGCAAAAGGTGGACGCCAATTCTCCCTCTCTTTGATGGTACTGCAGCTTGTTTGTTCTTGCCATCATATCTTAGCATACAATGCATTGAGCACACAATGCATCGCAGTGACTGGTGAGTTCGGTTTAGGTTATGGTAGGCGGTGCGGCTCTGTACTCGAGCAAGGGACATGTGGTGGTGGTGGTAGCACTGCAGTGGGAACAGAGTGCTCTGTGCTTTTTTGATGGGCTTGGCTGTTTGCGATGCTCACGCTGTGCCCTCCTCAATTGCGCGGGCAGCGAGCACTCTGCGCAGAGATCGGGGCTGCCCGGAGGGTTTGGTGCGGGGAATGAAACCCACTTTTGAGCACAAGGGTACGATACCAGTATCCTCATGGAATGAGGAGGGTAAAAAAGGGTTGCTTATCTTGTATCATAGAATTTAGCGGACGGGGTGTCCGGCGCGACACCTACGGTAGTCCTAACGCTTGTCTCGATAAGGAGAGAAGGTTAATTGGAGGAAAAGAAGGCTTTATGTGAGATTGACGCTCGCACCGTGTGTGCCAATCTATATCATGGGACAAAGTTACTCGAGCACACTGACGGTACGTTGTGCCCGGAAGCTGTGGAGTGGTCAAGGTGGCTTACCATCACCACCGGAACCGTGGTGGTGGCTGGTAGCGAGCGAGGATGAAGGAAGGAGAAGAAAAACCTCCATCCGCACACACACCCACAACCCATCCATCCATCCATTCAGAGCAGACAAACAAACAAACAAAGGAGAACAGGAAGGAAATCGTAAATAGCAACTTGTGGTATAATAATACTTGTGCCTTGGCCAAAACATCTGGATAGAGTTTTATAGGGAGGGTTGTTTTCTCAGCGGGGCTCAGCCGGGGAGGCTCAAGGGGGCGGTTGAGATGAGCACTACCGTAGACTATCCCTTGAGCAGTCCACTTGTAAAACTGTACTCGAGTAAACTTCGCAACAAGGCGCGCTAGACCTGTTTTGGAGGCGTTCGAGCATTGTGGTTCGTTAGCGATTAACTTACAAGTAAATTATATTATCGGTAAGGGTTGCTTAAGGTGCTGAGTCACTTGAAGCCCAGATTCATAACCTGAAATAGCCAGCGGCTGACTGATCTGAACTTGGGCTTGATTCAATAATCATGTTAGTCCCGATACATACCGAACTGCTCGCCAATTTTGGTGTCTCAGCCGGTCCAAAGGATAATAATATTATCGTGGCGGAAGTGCGATATTGGCATGATACGATACTGCTATTTGGTGGGCGGGGAGTGCTGCTGTACTGAACTGCACGAACACTGTACTGTACTCGTGAGCATTGTGGTGGCTGTATTTTGATTTGATGTGATGTGGGTGGAAGGAAAGGGTGAGAGCGAAACAAGCAACAGCCTTACATCCTGCACACTGCTGGAGCTTTATTCCATGTCGGGATTAATTGCGAGATGGGTTTTCAGCTCCACCTTCAAACGCGCAGCCAACAGCTCTACCGCATCCCACTCTGAACTGGAATCCAATTTACGGAGTGCACCGGTACCGATATTGACTGATTCTGCTTTTGTGGTACTGGTAGCGGGTTGGATCATGGTTTCTGGGCTTCTTTCATCTGATTGGGATAGGAGCGAGTACGAGGGAAGAATGGAAGGATGGAAGCTTCAGAGCTAGTTACAGGTATGATAACGGGTAAGTGCTCGAGGAGCCTATCTTTTTGTTCGCTTGCCCGTTGGTATGGTACTGTACTCGTTCAACTGGCGACAAGAATGGTGGTACTGTATAGTACTCGAGTACTGTACCGGTGCTCCAAGTTGCCGGCACCATACTTGCATCTACTTGAGTACCGAATTGCTGCGCTCCCTGGACTTGGTGCATGGATATTTTTTTCTTTTTTTCCCCCTTCATTCGTTTTTCGGATCCCGGACTGGCTTTTGGCCGAATAACGACTCAGCTACACGAGCACAGTAGTACAGCACGAGTACTTTTCTGGTGCCTTGGAGGTTGGAGGGGGACATTCTTCCCTCGCCCGCCCCCACCAACTTTCTTCGGAACCCCCCCCCCCCATTTCCCATTCCCTCCCCACTTCACAAGACTCATCATGCCCGGGCAAATATGAGAAGCGGATATGTCTTTCCCCCCGGTCCGTGGCGCCGCTACAGGGGCACATTTTGCCCCGTCTTTGACATTATTACAGAGTAGTCATATACAGTAGTTCCGTCCTGAC